CCCCAAAACCCCAAAACCCCAAAACCCCAAAACCCCGAAAATTTATAATATATTGAAATCTTGGATTAATGGCATTGATCTCGAAGAGGCAATTGAAATTACTAAAATTATTCCTTCTTTCACCAATCATCGAACAGATCCTGATCGTATCATACATTGCCTGTATAATGATACTGTTGATTTTTAACAACGATGTGAACTCTAGTTTGGCGAGAGGTACCGCCCTTGATGAGCTTCAGGATTATTTTAAAAAGGAGAAGTTTCTAAATATTTCAACAATTGATCGTAGCACTGTTTCACCAACTCCAGTTGATAATGTTGAGTATGACTTTTATGATTATATGAGCTTCATGTTTAAAGACAGACTTTTTGCTCAGAAGAAATCATCTTTCATAGTTAAGGGAGTGGTAAGACTTGCTCAGGCAAGAGTAAGCACACCTGATTGCGACTTTGCCTCTTTTTCTTCACCATGAGATACTAATTGCTATAACACCTTACACTCAAAGGTATGTTCTCCATTATTCAAAGTATCCACAGATGATTCTGATTTTGTAAGAACGAGTGGATGAGCTTTTGAAAACTGTACTGAATACAAAATGCACAATCAGAAAACAGCCGATGATGATAAGATTGCTACATATTATGGTGATTATGGGCAGTACGATGGAAATTACCTCTATGAAGCTGACTTTACCTACGAGACTGATTACACAACTGTTCTTAACACTTTGAAGGCAAATTCATGGATAGACCAAAACACCAAGGCGGTTCTTTTGAGGTTTACGGTCTATAATTTTTGGACCAAAATGTATTATCATGTCGAAGCTACCCTTGAGACACCAACTTATGAGTTCTTTGAGAATACGTATTACGCTAATCACATATCTCTTGAAGAGAATGAAAGTGGATTAGTATTTGTTTGAATAGTTATCTTAATACTCAATTGTTTGATTTACATTGGAAAGATCATTTTTGAACTCTCAATAGGTCTTAGTATTATCACCAATCTTCTAGAAGTCCTTAATATCGCCTTTATTTTTGGGATTTCTATATGAAAATTGGTCCAATTCACTTTGGAAAGTGAGTTTGATGACGACAAACTTAACGGGGATAAATATTTAAACTTTTATAGTCTCATCAATATTGATATCCTTCTGAACTCTCTGGCAGTAATTTGTGGTATATTTATCCCATTCAGATTTTTCATCCTCTGCTCTCATTTCCAATTCTTCAAGCCTTTTGCTGCAATTCTTGCGATATTATACCGTATGATGGCAGGCTTGATGATATTTATCATAATATTTGCTATTTTCATAATTTCATGGACTTCAGTATTGTTCTTCTTCTTGCAGCCTTACTTATTCAAATTCAGGTCTTTTTCAAGTTCCCTAACTGCAGTACTAATCTACGAGTTTTGGAATGATGATGACTACCAATACTTAGTACGTAGAGAGCAGTTCACTACTATTTTCTCGATCATAGTAGTCATCGTAGTTTTCTTAAGAATCTCAATGCTCTGCTTCTATATTTCAATGTGTGTTTTCTTATATAAATAAAGCGGCAGCTTTTGAGAAATTAGATGTGGAAACTCCCGCCCAGAAAATGCATAATGAGACTATTGATGAGATGAAGGATACCCTTGAGAAAATGTATAATATTAAAAAAGAAGAGCTAAAGGACAAAGAAAAGAAGTTTAGAGGCTCACAAGACAAGAAAATAATTGCATGGATGCTTAATAGGAAGAAGCATTTGAATGAGAAAGAGAGACAAGCATTCTTTAAGAAACTCAATCCTAGTTTGAAGAGAAATGACGATGACTTAGATTTTGAATCAGATTACAATCTTAATGATGAGGAGGGAAAGCTAATTAAATCTTCTAAGCGTATTTTGAATGATAAGAATTCTCCGAGCAAGAGCACATCTCCAGAAGAGGAGAGTAAATTTATCCAGACAATTCAGTTTGAATATCCTTTCCAGTTGAAATCATTCTTGAAATCTCTGTTTCAGTTAAAACCCATTTTGATCAGCTCTTATTCTGTCGATAAATTCAGGATTGTAATTGAGAATTATGTGAAAGATACAAATTACACTAGTAAGTCAAGAGTTTGATAGTTATAGCTCTTAATCTAAATGGACTGGATGAAATCATACAATTTTTAAAAGACATTGGCTGCAAAGTCCCAGTTCTGTTATATTCAGGATGCTCGATACACCCAGAGATCATTATGAAACTCAGGAAGAAATATTCAATGTTCAGCTGTACAACCGACCTCAATGTTGTAATCAAATTCTGCAAAATGGAGCCAATTGAACATTTTGTAGAGTAATTCAATTACTGGATCTCTTCTCGGGGTTTTGGGGTTTTGGGGTTTTGGGG